CCCACCCTTCCAAGTTACTTAATCATTTAATATATCCGAATGGCCACAGAGTACTGTGTTGTAGGAGCCCTACATCAGCCTCCACTATAAACCGCTTCTTAATGGATATCAGTTCGACTAGCCTATATTCCGGGTCTATGTTTTGGGTTCTCTACTGTGTGCCTTTGTTTCTCATGAGGGAGTTCCGACTTGAACTAAACTAGGGTTATGATATCAGTCACCGGATCGTTACTATGAATCTCAAAAACATGAAGACACCAAATATGTGTAGGGTATATACACGCAGCAGGTTTGGAGTGCCTGCTGCATATCTTATGAAATAATGTAATGCCATCATTCGTGAACTTAGTTTTTGGCTAGTTTTTTCTATTGAATTAGTTATATCAGAGTGTTATGGGTCGCTTTGTAGTTGGTGTATCCCCTTCCGTTACCTGACGGTAAATGTCTGCAAACCAATTTTCGCTGTCATGAGTGCGTTCATCTAAAATTAGTAAGCAGGGTTTTATCTATCCTGTCTCCTCAGCTTAAGCCAACAGTATGCGGATACTCTTTCACATACTTTTGCCTTGAAGGTCTACTCAGATCACATTTCATGCTCCCGGTGGACAGATACGCCTGGGAAAAGTGTCAGTGGAGAGTTCGGTAATACTAGCCATAGGAATTGGTGCTTCACACCTTGAACATCTCGATATTATGACGACGTTATGTTTTTTCATCGATCCCACGTTCGCTGTGCTGGTGCCAAGGTAATGTGTATCCCTAAGGTTAGCTATATGATATATTCCGTTGGGCTGTTTGTGAGTTCTATTTAGAACGACAGCTAATGAACTCATGCTAGCTGGGAAGTTTAACCCGCTCACGGAGATGACAAATAGGCGGAGACAGCAGTCAAAACCAAGTTATGTTGAGGAGGAAACTATTTGAAGAACTGCTGTGAGTGGGATACTGAACACCTCTTGGCGAGGTAGGATTTTATCTAATTATTACCATCTAAAGGGTGTTTACTCACCTGGCGTCGAGGACAGCTGAGAAACGAAGAAGGGGGAATGATGTTAGTTAAAGAATTGAACAGTCTCATCACACCCTGAAAGTGCCTCACCATCCACCAAAAAATAATAAAAGAATTGGAACACATAGCGATAAAATATCAAGGCATGTTCGTGGACAATATTCTCGAAAATTCAGACATTCAAAGTTATTCTGTGATCTTGCATTCCATGGAGCTATTTTTATCCACATCATCTTTTGAGTTATGGTGCTTTTTTCTCGGTTATTTATTTCTGAAGTGCACTCTAAAATGGGACCTGATTGTGCAGAGGAAAAGGATAATAATAATTTACTTTATTCCAAAAACAGTACTTATAATACAGAATGGAATTCTCAGCATTTGTCACAATATTGCATCTGATTTACTCAAAGTACATATAAAATTAAAAATTAAAACAAAATTAATCGGAGGAATTTGTCCACATTTATGACATAATTATTAGATATAATAATAATAATAACAGTGAGTTTGTTTCAAACTGTATTGTCGATTCAGTTTGGGACCTTTAGCATGTTATAGATTATTGGGTCTAATGTTCTGTTGATATAGTATAGTGAGGGGAAATACAAAATTAACAGTTATAATGCAGCTTAAAATTATGTCCACACTTATGAAAAATAAAATAAACAAAACGAAAATGGATCTGATTCGTCTCAACCGGGGTATGGCTTGCCTATGAAAGGACTGACTCACCAAGATGTGCAGTGTTAATTCCATATTTCTGCAGTCTTTAGGTTCAGTGTCGGTATATTCATTTTTCTAAATTAACACTACCAAAATGTAACTCAATGTAACTTATTTTCAAAAAGATGTTTAAATGTCTTCTCTTTTAGACAAAATTGAAAACCAGAAGCATAATTTACACATATATTATTTATATTTGCCATTTTTCTGAAAAATTTGTGTTTCTGTAAGAATCCAATGAATTTATGCATTTGGTTGCACTTAGTCCTAGAATTGTTCTCTCTGTAGTCTCTCTAGAAATTCTACGTATGTTAGGGGCTCAGATCGTTTGACTCACCTACCAGCCTTAATAGTTATGATAGAGAAGATTTGTAGCTCAGGTGGATGCTTTTGAAGTGGTTGTGTTCTCTCAGCTGGATTTTAGTAACGTATCCGAATCTTGGGTTTGATCTTTGGTAGGATTATGTTTTCGAGCCTTTGCATCACTGCTTCTGCAATCAAACCTGATATTGGCTACCCCATGGGTGTTCCCTTGACTTGTTCATATATTGCACCGTTGAATTGGAAGTACGTTGTTAGGCGTAGGTTTTGCATTCCATCCAGCTTGTGTAGCATTTTTGATTGTTGTGGGAGGTGTTGGCCGTTGCTGAGTAATCGCTCCATGGTCTCTTTTGCTAGTTTTTGTCCGATTGAGGTATATAATGCTGTGACATCGAAGGATATCATTATTTCTTGTTCATCTATTTCGATGCCTCTGATTTTTCTCTAGGAATTGGATAGCAGAGTTGATGCAGTGATCACAAGATTCCGTTAGGTGTTTCAATTTTGTGTATAATTCTTTGGATCAGTTATATGTTGGAGTTCCTGGGAGTGATACAATTGGTCGTAATGGGATATTTGGCTTGTGTATTTTGGGTCTGCCGTAGAATCGGGGTAGGACTGGTCCACTGGATTTCATTCGCCATTGGTCTTGTTTTGTGATCTGTCCATTTTTCGGTGAGCTTGTTTAAGGTCCTTTGGATGCGGTTGTTCAATGTTTATATGGGATTTCTTGGGAGTTGTTGATATACATCCTCGTCTTTGAGTAGTTCTTCAGCTTTCTTGGTGTATTCTTCTCTGTCCATGACTACTGTTGTTCTTCCTTTGTCGGTTGGTATAATGACGATGTCCTTCCTATTTTTCAGCTTTTTGAGGGCCTTTATTTCTTGAAAGTTGAGTTGTGTGTGTTGTTTTTTCTGTTTGATCATTGGTACAATTGTCTGGCATATCTCTTCATGTGTTTCCTCGTTCAAGTTTGAAAAAATAACAGTATATGTGTCTCCGCCAGTGCATGAATAATTCTCAAAGAGGATACCAAATAGCAATCTTCAATCCAGAATCCAGATCTATTTGACAAAATGTAGCAACTAATTAAAGTACAAGCTTCAATTATGAGGTTATCCCGCATTCAAATATCAAGACCACAATGGTTGAACACAAAACGGCTCTCAGTCACCAAAAGTGTCCAGTCAAACAAAAAATGTACAACAGTTCAAAATGAAACCTAATTTACCCAAAAGTGTAAAGTGGTATATGAAGTGCAACTTGAATATTGGGAGGGATAGTATTAGACGTAACATTATGACTACTTTATTTTACCGTTACTGTTGTTATCCTCCATCTGTCGAACTTACATTCAGAATATTCCTTTTTTGTGATAATTATATTTCTTCTCACACATTAAATACTACTCACTCATTGCAACCCATAGTATAATTGATTATGAATATGTAAACACATCACTCAGTTGTTTAATCTCATTTTATCTTATGATCTTACCGACTGTATAGTTTGTATATTCAAATGATAATCAAAACCGACTAACTTTAATTCCATATTGCACTTGCACCTTAGCACAGTTTCTGATATGATTTCCATTTGCTTTTACTGACTATTATAGCTTTACATCCTAAAGAAATTACCGGAAACCACTGGCGTTTGTGTTTATTCTTTTTCTGAAAGTGTTGTAGGTTAACGACATATTAAACAAGGTATAAAGTTCAACAGGAAGAAAAGCATAACAGTGAAGAGTAAATGAATTAACTGTGACCACGTGAGGAATAAAATCTTACTGCAAGCTGTTCAGACTACAATCCGCCTGCCATTACGTAACCATTTAGAGGAAATTCAAATCGTCTAGAGCTGGATTACTTCACATGGGGTAGATAGTAAATTGTTCGGAAATCAATCTATGGTAACGTTGTAGATATGAACTAATAAATTGTTTCAAAACAAAACTAAGTAGCTCATTAGCGCTCTTGGCTTTTTAACGGCTTTCTAACTAACTGTTTATAAGGGAAGCAACCTTGAAATCAAAGATACAAGCTAGGAGACTCCTGTTTAGTTAACACTCAATAATAACAACTATGAAATCATAGCGAGGAACGGACGATTTTCGAGATGAAAACAAACTAACAAATTACTAGCCAAGCTGTTGGATACTGACAATTTAAATCTGTTTATATAAATCAAATCGTGCAGCCTTTCTATTCTCTTTTTTTCTTCTGTCTAAACTTCCAGAGAGGAGGTGTAAATGAGATGGGTGTGTTATGTGTTGTCTTAAAAGACTATGAAAGCCTAGCAGATAAACCATCCAACTTAGAGAATACAATAACACAGAATTTTTTTTTAGTTTATCTTATATATTTGCTCTGCAATCATATTTGGTTTACACAGATTATACAGTTACCTAGCTGATATTATGTTAGATATGCTAGTTTACTGTTGGATGAGACCGCTGTCAACTGACACAGAACTTTAAAAACTTACATTTCTTATTTAATTACTTATCAGATTACACAAAACACACCATGCTTAGAAATAAGCGATTTCTACGTTAAAAAATTTCTCCAACACCGGATTCCTTAGAATAACGTAGTCTCTAGTAGTTTGAGTTCGGAAGTAAGAAAACAACAAGTAAGAGTGACGGTGTTAGGAAAGGGGAAGAGAAAACATCACGTGTATTTCCCGCTTTTATACAAAGCAATATTTAGTTTACAAATATTTTGTGAATACAGTTCACTGAATTATTTACAGACAGTTAAAGAATGAATATAAGCAGGAAGTTGCTCACATGTTTATATATATTTATATGTATAATGCAATTTGAACTGATTGAAAATGCAACAAAAAGAACGCTGGGAATTTAAAATGTGCATTTAAAATTTGAATAGGTAATTTCAAACTGCTGGAGAAAACAGACTTATCTGAATATCACTTACAAAGACGACGGACAAGTGAAAAAGAAATTGAAGACAGAGGTTATCATACACTTTTTTAATCTTGAATTTCCGTTAGCTCCGTTTTTTAGTGAATAGTGTACAGCACGCACAAAAATTGGAATGATTAGGCATCAGTATAGTATAGTGTTTGTAAGGACATTTGCTTCTCATACCTAGAACTAATAGTAACAATAAATAATATCACTATCTGACTACATCAAAATTGTATGTAATAGGTAAAAACTTAAAATAATAACGAAGACGCATTGGAAATCTATTTACAGCTGCTTATTTCCACCTTTTACGGAAATCAAACTATCGATATTTTTGGCATTCTTTCTCTGATAAGTAAACCTCCATCCATACTGGTTGATAGATTCGTCCCAGTTCCCGCAACAAGTAATCCACCTGGATTGTTAGCAGCACTACTATGTAAAGAATCTCGTACCACCGTACGTCCACCATTTCTGACTAGTGATCCTGAATGTGATGGAGTCCTTTGTTGCAATTTACTACTCATTCTGTTTGTACGACAATGATCATGTTGATTATCCAACGGAAAATGTGCTCCATGACAATCATGTTGTGCATTGACTAAATGTGAGTGTCCACCCTGTTCAAACACTTTTCTGTTATGATTATGATGGTGGTGATGACGGTGAGGATGAGTATGCGAGGAGACTTGATGCGAATGTGACAGATGTTGGGCATGCAGATAATGATGACGATGATGTTGATGCATTTTTACTGAACTGACATCAGTTTCTTTCTCAGTTAACAAATCGCACAGTAATCCAGACGTTTGACAATTGTGATGCTTATGCAGTTGATGTTTCTTGTTTGAACAGTGTGCATTCAGTTTTTGAGTAGATTGATTCAATACTAGTGAGTGTTTTGAACCAGTTAACTGTGTTAAAGGATCCAATGGCATATTTTTCCTACGTTTGTATTCATGATAATAAACATAACAGGCTATGGAAAGAAGAAAAATCATAGCCAACAGTATGCCCGTGCCAATATGAGCTAGATTGTAACTGTTTCCAAATGAACCTATAGCATAGAAAAAAAAAGAAAAAAGTGTAAATTCAATCAGTAAGGTGTTCCTCGTTTTTAGACTAAGACTGGACATTTATTCAAGTATATACCACCTGAAAAATTTACCTTTAGAGAAATTAAAATACTTCGGAAACTCACATGATTTCTTCAGTATTAGATCAATCGCACTGAGATCCATTGACAGAGTCTGTCAATATGTTCTTGGAAATGATGTGTTTACCGATCCTTTATTTCTCTTAGTTAGTTTTCAGAGCAAAATACTTCTGGATGAGCATAGTACTAAATACCTTTTGCATTACCTATTTTGAATCACTTGCTGATTCGTTGTTTCATCTATAAAAAATTTTAACAAATTCACTAGCTTATAAGTTCACTCCTATTATACAACAAAAGATGCTGAGTATTGTGTGGTGTAATGGTAAATATTAAATCACTAGTTCAAGTCATTCATAAGATATTGAGTGAGTGTAATGATCATGCACAAATACTGAGATGCAGTGACTGAATAGTTTAGGTAAGATGGACGAGAATTTTTCGCAGTAGGTCAAACGTATTCACTCTTTATCATCTTTCAGATCCAGAACACATCCACCGGACCTAAATTTAATTAATATTTCCATGCCCGTGTTTATGGATTGTTGTCTCGTCATATTTCTGTTCTTTTTTCTGTGTATTTCAAAGCCCAGCGTTTCTGTGCAAAGTAGTGTGTTGATTCAACAGTCATTTGATCGAATGCAAGATTTATACAGTTTGTCATTTGACTAATTTGTAGCTCACTTTTACTTAGAGCTGACTGGAATCATGATATCTCTCATTTTTTGTATGATATGATTAGCGGCAGGTGTCTATTTCATTTGGCATGATGTGTAATGTAGTGAAAACGCCATTTTCGGTTTTTTAGCAATTCCATGAAACTGTGTTTGTTACTTCTAGTAGTCATAACAACTTTGATATTATTTTATGTTATAACCGACTGAACTAGGGACGTAAGTGTATGACCAATTTGTTGAATTTGTAGTTTTTATCTAGACCTGACTGATGAACAGGATCTCTTCTACAAAGTAACAATGCACTGGGATTTAACTAATATATCTCTAATTCACTTGACTTGTCCAAAAAACTTCATTGGCATTACGTTTATCAAATTTTGAGTTTGCAACTGATTCTCAATTTACATAGCTCGAGGTGATGATTTCACTGTAGCTTCCTCTGAAAACATCACAATATATGATCTGCTTGATACCACAAGTGGTAATCAAAAAACCAAGCGTAAATACATAAAACTATGAACTGCTGAGTGATTGAGGTGAGTAGCTATGTACCACTTGTATCAACCAGTAGTGTAAAGACGAAAAGACAGATGAGGCTCGAAGGTAATGTTTATTGTGACAAACGCATTGTAGGTAGATAAATTTGGCACACCTTATCTTTAAGTCCTTATTTACACATCATATGCAAATTGGTCGAATATCACCACATTCGATAGCTTGTTGAATTCTGCACAGTGTTGCAATGTTCTCCTCACAGTTCTCTCCTTTGACCGCTTTTTCCAATGCCCAAAACATAATGTTACTTTTCTGAATTCGTTTACTCATATACCACTCATATCCGATTATAAGTACCACTCACCACAGTAGTATTTTCTGACCAGCTCAAAGTGATCTAAACACCGGTCCGTGTGTCTAGCAAATACTACTGGTTGATGTGAGTAGTATACAACGACTCATCTCAATCAATCAGTAGTATACAATTTTTTGCATTTAGGCTCTACATGTAGTCCGAAAATCAAGAAGTTGTTCCAACAAAGTGAATACATAAGTGTACAATTACATTGATCAGTCATGCAATCATACTTACTGCATCATCCCAATTTCTGCCCCTTTTCTAATTTCTAATTAGTCACCCCTTCTAGATTACACCTTACATTGCGTAATGCATTTTCGAGGACAAATTTTACCAGTATCCGACTGGTCTTATGAATTCTTTGTTAAAGACATAATTACGACTGTACAGCTTATGAAAATGAATCGTCGAGAAGAAAATGTTCATTGGCTTTTACGTCTTTTTCTTTTTCTTATGACTCAATATGAGAATATTTCGTTAAGTTAATATTCGTCAAGTGTTTCTTCTAAACAACCTTTGGATTCCTTTTTGTTCTGCATAAAAAATATAAATTTCATTTTGTCAAAATTATAGCACACACTGAAATTTTCAGCGGTCTCTTCTGTTCTCTAACTTGACCGGGTGCCATCCTTCATAGAAGGATATTAGTAAAAGCTCGCTGAAATATTAACCGTTGTTTTCTTTCAACTGACACGACCGTATTCAATGCTTTGTCAATTAGTTTATGCGAACATAAGACTATGCTACTTGTTGTTAATTTACCATCAAATTTATTTAGTAGTAATAAAGTAATATAATTTGTTTAATATACAGTTATGATTACACGTGGGCTTTTCATACTATCCAGTTAATAAGACCGCTTACTATATCAAATACAATAGTAGAAAAATAGTTCCTTACAAGTATGCTCCAATTCTGCAATTGTATCTTTCAGTTATTAAAGACAACGTTTAAAAGGGAAAAACCATTAACACATAGCAGCGTTTTATTTGTCTAAAAACAAATAGCACATATCTATAAAAAATTTGTCACAGAGTGATTATGCCCACTAAATCAGTTCAAATTTCTATTGGCCACTGGGTCCCCCACTTTAGGCGTAGGGCGCTTGTTCACAACAAAATACGAAAACAACAAGTAAACACAGTGAATCCAAAAACACCAATTGATATGACACACCATGCATATATACAAGCAGTACACATAACCTCGCAGACCATGTCTTGATGTAATTCCTCTGAAGAATCGCAGGACTTACACCAGTACGCCTGCAACCCCTCTCAGGTTGACGATTCTAAGTAGGACACTCGTCAAGTGGTCCATCCTCTGACTCTCAGCATCTTCCAGCAGACACAGTTTCCTAATATTTCTCACCAACATGTCACAACGTGTTCTCACCTCAACCGTCCTCACCAATCCATCACCACTACAGAGTACCCTTTCAACCACTCCCAAAGGCCATCTACCTGTGGCACATTTATCTGCTACTAAGACTATATCACCGACCTTTAAGTTTCTGCACAACTTTTTCCACTTGTCTCTTGTTTGCAGTCTTAGGACATGCTCTTTTAACCATCTTTTCCAAAATATATCTTTCATGGACCTGGCTTGTTTCCATCTTTTTTAATCGTAGGTATTCGTTCCGCACTCAAGTACCCTATGCCACGGTTACCTCGCAATAACAATAATTCATTTGGAGTCAACACATCGAAATCCTTGTCGTCGTCCCTCACAGGTAATAGAGGCCGGTCATTTGGTATTCGTTCAGCTTCACATAAAAATGTCTCCAACGTTTCGTCATTCGAACTTTGCTTTTTAATTATGGAGCTTAAAATAGGCCTATTAATTCCTATAAGTCTTTCCCATAGCCCATCTATGTGGCTGGTATGTGGTGGGTTGAAGTGCCACTCAATGTTTCTTTTCAATAACTCTTCATGAACTCTCGTCTGAGGACCTTCGAAATAGTCTTCAAGCTCGGCGTGACAGCCAACAAAATTAGTCCCCTGTCACTGAACATCATCTTAGGTGTACCTCGGCAATTTATAAATCTACGTAACGCCAGAACGAATGAATCAGTAGTTAACGTATGAACCATGTCAAAATGCACAGCTCTCGTTTTCAAACAGGTGAATAAACAGCCATATCTTTTGCATAGAGCTCTGCCTCTCTTCACTACAAAAGGTCCGGAAAAATCCCTCTGTGCTAAAGTATGGTAATACCCAATCATATTTTATTATTATTATTGTATCCTTTAATTCCTACAGGAACATAGGGCCTCAGCCATGCGTCTCCATTGCGTTCTGTTCTCTGCTAGGGTCTTCACCTGGCTCCAAGTCTGCCCACAAGTTTTTATCTCCTCTTCACATGATCTCCTCCAAGTCACCTTTGGACGACCAACTCGCCGCTTCGCTTTCGGGTTCCACTCAAGGGCTTGTCTAGTAATGTCACTTGATGGTTTCCTAAGAGTATGGCCAATCCATCTCCATTTCTTCCTGCCTATTTGTTTCAACATCGGTTCCTGGTTGGTTCATATTTTAGCTCTACCAATTTTTCATTTTTGTCTATTCAATTTGTATACTCTTCCTTATTAAGTCAATTGTTAATATTACTATTCTCACTTTTAATTGTCCCCGGTATTATTTCACTTGTTCCACTTGTCATTCTAAATCAATTCCTTTATGCAACATTTGTGGAGTCCTCAAAAATAAACTTATCCAAATTTTACTATTATGTAAAAAATGAACATATTGTACACTACTTTGTTTTAACCAAAAGCTCTGTACTCCCTCGAGTTTAAAAATAATATATAATTCTGCCTTCGAGTCTCCGTCTTCTCCACCATCTCAACTGCCGTCGATCAATTATAACAACCTGCTTTTTATCTCGAATTTTTGCAGGAGCACCGAAGCCTCTTCCTACGCACTTTGGTCGACCTCCGGCAACGTCAACACTGGAGAATTAGAACTGGAGCAGTCTTCCCGCAGCAATTCTGGAATCCAGTACGTTTATTGTGGAATTTGGATCTTTGTAAACTCAAATGATTTGGTATTTTGTTTTCTATTTGAATTTTGGGTAAACAAGCTAACAGAGTAAAAGGTCCACCACAAAAATTGGTGAGCCCGCTTCGAACATTTTTTTTCTTCGATGGTTAACCTGTTTTTGAACATTTTTGCGATAGTTAACTCGTTTTGAACATTTTTGTTGCTATTTTGACCTTATAATCTCGCATTGCTTAATTTTTGTTACCATACGTTTTGCTATTTTGTATATCTCTATACTTAAATATTTTTTGACAGTGGTTCTACCTAAACGTTCCACTGTTGCTGAAGAAGGTAATAAAGGCGAAGAGACACAGAACTCTTCTAATAACGCCTTACTGGACTTAAGACTACCTCAATTTGATCTGGCTGGACCACGTGTCTGGTTCACAATCATTGAACAGTTGTTTGCAGCTCGAGGTATTACGTCGCAGATTGCCATGTATGGTTGCGTATTAGCAGCAATACCCACGGAAGTACTGCGAGAGGTTATCGATGTCATAGACAGCAAGCCTACAGA